AGTCCCAGCCAGTTAGCCCAACTGGTTAGAAGAATGAACTTGTGGAAAATGAATTTACTCTCAGAACTTAGAGATGTGGAAGCTGCAGCCACACTGTAGTGCAGGGGATCCATGAAGAATAAAGTAGAGTGTCTTCCTGTCTCTTTTCCCTCCTCATTAACCCTACCTTCCTCTTCACCTCCCTACCCTCCTATCTCTTGCAGACTGGGGCTCCCTATGCTTCCAGTGCCCTGTGTTTAAGTGGTCATCGCAGAATCATCAGTGCAATGGTGAGAGGACCCCGTGGGGAGCTGCAGATTCCCAGCAGCCATGTGCTCAGTAGCAGAAGTCATAACTACCCTTGAGTTGCTGAGCAAGAATTCTATATTACGCCTCACCCTTATCATGTCTATAATTAATGACTGTAAATTATATTTAGTGGATGAGTGATTATTATTACTAGCAAAGGAAAGTTTTTTGTATTTCTGTCATTCGTGGAAAGGGTCATGCAACACACAAGATGGGATCTGCCATTTCCAAGTGGTGGGACCAGGGTAAGATGCTTACAGGATCTGTGGAGCTAGAGAACTAAGCGGGGGGAGGGTGGGCAGAAATTGCTGAAAGGTTGCCCTAGGGGAAAGTGGAACAGACCAGTCCCAAGAAGGGAGGAATTGAGTGGGGAAATAGGGAGGGGGACACAGTAAGTGGGTGGTTTAAAAATGTCTGGATGACTTTGAAGATGAGACAAGAGCAGTGACTTTTTCTCACGTTCTCCCCAGATGGTTGATACTGAAGTTAGAGGCTTCAGTTCCTAGCACTAAACTCTTCTCCTTTAGTGATTTTGTTGGAGATAAAAATAACAAAAAATCTGGGTGTGGTGGGGCGTTACACCTGTAATGCCAGCACTCAGGAGACTGAGGTAGACGATTGAAAGTTTGAGATCAGCCTGGTTAGCATAGGGAGACCTTGTCTCAAAAAGCCAAGAGCCAGGGATGTAGCTCATCGATAGAGTGCTTACCAAGCATACGCAAGCCATGGGCTTGATCTCTAGCATTGATAGATAAACAAATAATAGATAAATAAATAGCACTTTCTAATCCACTAGGGACTAAGAGGTTGGCCAACTGTTTGGTTTAGGTGCTTTGTCATTGTCACTGCTGCATTTGTTATTGCTATTGCTTTTTGAGTCCCACTCTGTGCCAGGCTGCCATAACAAGGTACCATCAACTGGGAGCTCTAAGCAAAGACATGTGTTTCTCATAGTTGTGGAGGTTAGAAGTCCAAGATCAAGGTGTGGGTAGGTCTGGTTTCTCCTGAGGCTATTTTCTTTGACTTGTAGGTTTTGTCTTGTCCCTGTGTCTCCACAAGGGAAGTGGGTTTTCCCTTACTGTGTATCTGTATACTGATTTACCCTTTGTATAAGGACACCAGTCACATCAGATAGAGCCTTCCTAAATGGCCTTACATTCTCAAAGCAAGGGGGTTTCCCAGACAACAGAGAGTGAGTGATACCTGGAGCAAGTGATTCCCTTTTCAAATCTCTTCCTGTCCTCTGTGTGCAACAAAGAGGAAGTCTCAGTTAGGTGCAAATGAACCTTTGAAAAACAGACTGAGTCTATTAAAGAAACCAAAGGGGTGAGCAAATCAGAGAGACAAAGAGAATGGTTCTGGAGGTGACAATATGGGTAGGTAGCCTATGATGACTGAAGGTAGGGAGACACATGTCCAAACAGCTGTGACAGGGGTGGCCCAAAGAGCGGAAGAATCCATGATTGAAGGCTGAGGATAGAACCTTCCTGATGGATGTCCCTGCTGGTGATTGCAAGGGACATAGGAGGACCTCAGGCCAAGCCTTTAGAGTCTTATGTTGATGCCCCATCTGAAAGAATCAACATCAAGGGAGGAAAGGGTGGTTTGGGATTATGATCTCAGAGGTTTTGGACCATGTCACTTGGCCCTGTTGCTTTTGGACCTGTGATGAGGAAGAGCATCATGGTGGGAGTGGGAGCACATGCTTATTTCATGGCAGTCAGGAAGGTGGGGGTGGATGAGGTCGCAATATCTCCTTCAAGGGCATGCATACAATCACCTAACTTCCTCTTATGAGGTCCCACCTCCTAAAGGTTCATCACAAGCTGGTGACCAAGCCTTTCACAAGTGGCCTTTTAGGGGGCATTTCAAATCCTCAACCAGTAATGGCCACCAAGCTAGTTAGTTACTTCCCATTGAGGGGTGAACCCACCTTGGAAATCCTTTCCTCTCGGCACTCAGCTTCTGAATTCTGCCTTAGTCCTCCCTCTCCATGCAGGCAAGGCTAATAGTGTGCCATTTCCCACAGAACCTCTGTTTTCCACAAGCCATGCCTCCAGCCAGCACCAAGATGTCTTTGTGGTGCATACTACTCACCTTTCCATCAATTTTCCCAAAGAAAATGCATCACTGAGCAGCATATTCCAATGCCAGCTTCATCACCGAGTAACTATTGGTCCTTGAACAGGTTTCATGACCTCCCCAGCCTCAGTTTCCTTGTCTTCAAAATGGGACTAATAATAGACATGAAGTGAGGATCAAACTTCCTGGCCATGGCACACACTGAATAATTGGAAGCTATTATTAGCTTCCTCCAAGGCAGACAAATGTAAATGTATACCTGCCAAGGGTCTGGGAGTGCAGCCAAAATCAACCCATCTCAGACATGAAATTTCCTTCCAGCCTTAAATTTGGAATTCTACTCTGTAATATATCTACATTTGTTTTAATATAAAAATGATGCTTTAAATTACCATCAGGGACAATTAATGCTAGTGGAAAATGAGTTGTAAGTACTCTATGCCATAGGCCTTCGATCTCCTGGATATAGACAATTTGAGCTCAGAGAGGCATGGAAGGACTATGTTCCTTTATCTCAGTGATTCTCAACAGCGTGGTTTTGTCCACAGGGGACATTCAAAGTGTCTGGAGGGTTTGGGGCTGAAGTAACTGAAGGAGGCAGTCATATTGGTATCTAGTGGGTGGGGAGCAAGGGTCTTCTAACCTCCCAAGCAACCTATAGCACACAGGACACTCCCATGACAGAAAGGTATCAGCCCAAATGACAGTGTTCAAGTCAAGGAATCCTAGAAGAATCCAGAAGGCTCTGCTGTCAGAGCAAGAATGGATTTCCCATTCTCCCCTCAGTCCCTTTTCCTCTTCTGACCCTATTTCTTGCCAAATTTCTGTTTCTCTCTCTCTCTCTCTCTCTCTCTCTCTCTCCTCTCTCTCTCTCTCTCCCTCCTTCACTCTCCCTACTTCCTTCCTTCCTTCTGTTCTCCCCTCCCTCTTTCCCTTCCTTCTCTCATTCCTTCCCTTTCTGTTTTTTTTCCCTGGGTCTTCCTAATACTCCCCTATTTCTTCCTCTGGATCCTTAAACTCTCTAGTTCCACCTACCTCCATTCTTTCCTCTTCCTCTTCCTCCTCCTCCTTCTCTTCCTCTTCTTCTTCTTCTCTCTTCATCTCCTTCTTCTCCTCCTTCTCCTCCTTTCTTCTCTTCTTCTCTCTCCCTCTTTCCCTCCTCTCTCCCTTTATCCTGTTCCTCTCCATCATTGAGTACTGTGACCCTAGTGTGATTAATAGAATTCTGCATACACTGGCGATATGTGTTGAGAAACCCTTTAAAATGGATGTGGGAGAGAGGCTATGGCAACATGAAGGCTTACACTACCCTGTCTTCTATGTCCCTGAAGACCAAACCAGCATCCCAGTGCCCACCAGGCCCCAAACACCATCCTAGGTCTGCATTTCCCCAAGAGTTGTGTGACAGACAACTGTGTTGGATGTGTGCCAGACTGCTCTGCTGAGAGATTTGGAGGAAGCTTTGACAGTCTTGGGAGACAATGATGGCCTCACCTTCATCACTCAAGAAAATCTCTGTAAAATCTCTCACCAGTTTTCTTGAGTGTTGGGTTGAGATGTAAGGAATGTGTGGACACACTGTGACTGTGTCCGAGGTGGGCACAGGATGACAGCAAGCATAGCCCCCAAAAGCTGGTTGCACAATTTTATGTGTGGAACACCTACCAGGGAGGTGCAGACTTCTGCAGACTTCTGGGTTCTCAGGACATTGATAATTTCTGAGGATCTAAAGATATGCATTTCTTATGGTGGATTTTGAGACATACTACAGGAAATAGGGATGAGTGTTGAGTGCTTTAATCCTAACCCATGCTCCGAAATGGAGCATCTACTTTTCTTTCTGTGGCTGACCCTGGAAGGAAAGAGCCACTACCCATGTGGCCACTCTGCACAAGAATCACTAGGCAGCTAACCATGGTTAAATGTAGTTAGCACCTGCATTTTATTTGGCACTCCTTTCATAATGCAAAGGAAAGAGTGGCCATTTCTAAGGGGTCCCATGAAGCACAGAAGTCAATCTTCCACTCCATGGGTTGATTCAGAATCAAGGAGCCAGAGCAGCTTGAAGACATTGACCTCCAACGGCAAGATCAAAGTCTGCCCTGGGTGAGGAATCAACACCCTAACTCATTTTCATTGATCAGCAGTTTTCATTACAGTTAGTCACCAGTCAATTACATCTCTGTACATGGGGAATTTTAACCAGTTTGCACAACAGACATCCAACCTGCATGGCAGGAGTTGCCAGGTCCCAAGATGGCAATCAACTGATGGTTGACCAGTTGGCTGATTGCTCTGATCTTGTTTTCTATCATGTTCCCTTCCATTTTATTAGAAAGGAAACTATGAAGGGGTTGGAAAGTCAGATAAGAAACTAAGACACCCTGATCATCGGTCACTCCAAAGGCTGACCTCTTCAGCAGCCAAGACCTCCAGAAACTGTTGGAGCTGATTAAAAACACAGGGGCTCTTAAGCCAACCCCATTCACTCCAGCGCTGAGGATAATGGCAAATGGGCTTCAGTGCCTCTTAACCAACAGCTTACTGCTTGCCAGTCCCTTGTGTTGAAACGATACCTTTAAAACCCTTTGACTCCAAAGTGCAAAGGAGGCAATGCATCCTAGGGGAGAGGGACCTGCAGGCCAAGCCTGGGGCAGCTCTTAACTGCCAGTTATAATGCAGCCACCATTCCCTTCATCTAGAATATCTCTGCTTTCCACAAGGAAAAGTTATTCGTTAGGCAGTTGCCCATCTTGCTTTTATTTTGTTCCTGCAACCTGAGCTGTTTGCAAAGGGATTTTTTCTCATTTATGAAAAAGGCCACATTGCATATGATTCCATATATATAAAATGTCCAAAAAGGGTAAATCCATGGAAACAGAAAGTACAGTTGACCCTCTGTGTACTCAGGTTTCACATCTTCAGATTCAACCAACCTAGGATACAAAATATTTGAAAGTAAATAAATAAATGCAATACAAATTAACAATGACAGTATGACAACTATTTGCATAGCATCTACAGTGATAAGTCTAGAGATTATTTAAAGTATACAGGAGGATGTGTGTAGGTTATATGCAAATACTATGCCATTTTGTATAAGGGATTGAGCACCCTCGGATTTTAGTATCCAAGGGGTGCCTGGAATCAATCCTCCGAGGTTACTAGTAGATGACTGTAGATATGTGGTCACCTGGGACTGGGAGTAGAAATAGGAACTAACTGCAAATATGTGTGCTACTGGATGATGAAAATGTTATAATAATAATTTATGTTGGATGGACATAGTAAATTTGCTAAAACATGTTGCATTGTACACTTAAAATTGGTAAATGTTATGGTCTATGGTTTGTGCCTTGATAAAGTTGTTTGTTTAAAGAAGAAGCAAGTGGAGGTAGCCACTGGCAGTGTCGCCTTGCCCACACCCCTTAGGTTCTTGTGTTTTATACAGTCTCCTGGCTGCCACTGCCTAACCCAGAGCTCTTGGCCCAGGGGTTTCTTCTGACCACTAGAGTTCACTCTGTCCACTTGTATGGTAGATTTGAAGTAGAAGGGAATCCAGGTCCCTTGAGAGCTGTCAATGGCTTGCCAGGAATTGACGTATAAATATAGCAACTCCCTTGCCTTGGATGTGGCATTACCCAGAGCTCTCCAAGCAGTGCTGAAGTCCAGTTTCTACCTTACAGGATGAGATGAACTTCTTTCCTTCTCTGCCTCATTTTCCCACCTCCCTTCTGATATTTCCAGGCTTCTACCCTCAAATAATTCTCTTCCACTTGACCTTCTATCTCAGAGGCAGAACATACAGAAAATTGATAAGAACTGAAAGTTGATTCAACAGTTGAAATTGAGATTAAGCTGTAGACTTGAGGGTCGGACTGCCCCAGTTGGAGTATTAGCACTACCTTACTAGCTATGTGGCTTTGAATAAGTTACTCCATCCTGAAGTTTCATGTTTGTCACACGTGTGATCAGGATAATTGTGGTATGATCTGTTATAGGGATTGCAGGAGAATACAAGCCAACAGTGCAGCTGGAGTCCTTAGCAGAGGAACTGGCACACAGTAAATTTGTAATCATATGTAATTTTTCAAGATGATGGCTGGTCCACAGAAAAATCACAGACATTTGAACCAGACTGGAAAAAAAGGTCAGTTGGATTCGCTAAAGCTTATCCAGACAGTGCATATTTGTAGGTAGGACTGGAAAGCTCTGGTCTTGCTGCCTGGGTGACATGAGTCCTACCCTTGCCAAGTGACACCAGCCACTCTGTCTATATGAGATTGGGCAGAAAGTGGAATAGACTATACCTTATTTTGTCTTGATGAATAAACTGGATGAATTACTTCTCGAAAGGGACCCATTAACTAAAGTAATTATCAAAAATTGGTAGAATTAGTTTTTTGACCTTTTGAAAAGAAGGGGACTCTGTCTTTTCTCATTTGGGTCCATATGAAGCCTGTGTTGCTCGCTGGATGGAAGAGTAATTCTCCTGTGGTCAGTTATGGGACTTTGAAAAGTTATTTCACTTCTCTTACACTGGGTCCTGTCCTTCTTGTGTCCAAAGGAGACGAAAATGAATATCCTCAAGGGATAGGATATCCACAAAGGGACGTCCTAAACATGACATAACTCAATGTATGGAAAGAGAGCTGTGCAGAGTGAAGAAGGAAGCAGAGGTCCAACAAACATTTGCTTCTTTTCCCTCCTCCACTGCATCTCCCTAGTGATGGATAGGTATTTGGTTTCTTCATCCTGTAGGAAACAGAAGAGCATTTGTCAAAGCTCAAATGGCCATCATTAGCTTGGCACAAACAATCCAGTGGGCGTGGTCTATATACCACATCCCCCCTTCAATAACAGCAGACATTACTAATTGATCACTGTTCTTTTCATCTGAGTTTGGATGCAGTCCTAGAATCATGTCTAGTGGAGCCCTCAAGGCATCGCTACCAACTGATCAAATTCAGCTTGCAGAATGAAAGTTATTTGCCATTTCCTGGTTTAAAAACAATGGGGATTGGCATAAGGTCTAGAACTCAATAAATAGTTAATAAATGGGTAGCCAAAGGAGAAATGCAATAAGGTTATTTAATGTTATCATCACCTGGGTCTTTAGTAGATGATATTGTTCAAGTCCAAATTCCTCCAAGTTTCCCCTCCCAAAATGTGAATCCTACTTTGGTAATGGACAGTGTTGAAGCCACTTGGGCTGCTCATAAATTCGCACCAAGTAGCCTCCTCTGCATTGTGCATATTGATATGATCACACCTTGGGAGCACTGTATATTGATACGATCACAGCTAGAGAGTTGCAGCATTTCTGTCTAGGGCTGGCTGCATGGAACTTCCTGGAAGTGGAAGCTACCTGCAGTTTATCCTCACAACGAAGGAGAAATCCTTAATTGGAAGGGCATAACTGCCTATTTTCTGGCCAGGAGGCACATCTCAAAACTGTAAGTCAGAAATCTGCAACTGAGCTGTATTGCCAAGCCTGATGGTGATCTCCTTAGGAAATTGGCTTTAGCTCTAGGAATATCTGCCCTTTTAAAGCAAAAAGACCAGTGTCGGCCATCAAGTCTGCAATTGCAAACATCCCATGCTATTAATCACTGAAAGACTGATCCTGCTCCACTGCTTGCCATGTTCTATTGCAAATGTAGAAGTGTTAATACTGTTTATGCAATTATGAGAGCCACACACATTTCTTGTAAGTGCAGAACATCTGAAACAAGGAAACAAAATCATTCACAGATTCACCACCCAAAGATAGTCAGTATTAAAATCTTTGATAGTTCCCTCTTTTGTTTTTCTATGCATATTTTAGTATAATTATGTTTGTGTATTATGCTCAAACATTTTATCTCCTGAATTTTTTTCATTTCACTTTATGACATAGCATTTCTCCATATTTTTTCAAACTCTCCACATTTTAGTGGTTGCATAAATATTGCAATTAATGGGTATGCCATAATTTACTCAACTGTTGAAAGTTAGGTTCTTTCTGAATCTGAAAGATTCCTACATACAGAAAAAGGTCTATGCAAAGAGGCTATGGTGACTATCTTTGCATACTCTTTTTTCTACATATAGGAATGTTTCTTTCAAATACATAAAGTGAGTAAAGCCTACACTTCTTACACATAAATCTCTAGTAATTTGTGCACCTGTATTCCCAGATCAAGGCATGGGTCACTTCCAGCATTACCAAAAGTCCCTGCTATGACACAGTTTTTAAACAAACACTTTTCAGCCTACAGAGAAATACATTTCCTCTTTGTCCTACACAATGAGCAGTTTTGTTTCTGCCCCAGAACACCATGGTTGTGTTGGGTTATGGCAATCCTTCCTTACTAAAGGAAGGTCCCCAGCAAGGCCAGATTCCCCAGAGGTGTCTCCAGTGGGGTTGAAAGGAACTTGTGCCAGGGTGGAGGGAGCAGATGCTATTCCAGCTCCATAAATGGAATTTAGTCCTCTTCCATCTGACCTTGGCACACTGATGATAAAGTTTAAAAATAGTGTATATTTTCCTCTATTCAGTTCACAAATGAGTTTGGTAGCAATTTTCTCTCTTTTAAGCAATTACGGAACTTTACATAATTAACTAGCTGACAACTCACTAGGGATATTACAGTAGTGTGGATTTTAAAATAAAATATCCATCTATCTATCTATCTATATATATGCAAATATATACATATAATACAAATATACATGTGTAAATAACAAATGTAATAACTAAAAATAAATATATCTCGTAAGACTCTTCTGATCCTTCATCAGGGGATCGTAATCACCCCCCCGACCAGCATCATATTCACCGATGCCTTTATTGAGTACCTACCATGTGCCTGAAATATGTGGAGGCATTACTTCATCTCATTTTCACAATAGCTCTCTCCCTGTTTCACAGAAAAGGATGCTCGGGCCATCTACTTCACAGAGAGGAAATAAGAAGACTGTTAGGGGGTCATGGTACCCTAAAGTTTTAGGTGATGGCTAATTACTGGTCTCCTATTTTAGAGTTCTAAAAATTGGTCTACTTAGAACAATATGTGCTAATTCTAGAAAAATGAAATCTGCATTTTCATCCTTAATGAAGTAGGATACACTATATTTTGCATAGCTAAAAAACAAATATGGGTGTACTAGCATCCATACTTTCATAGCTTTATTGGGATATAATTTACATATAAAAATTCACCTGTTTTACTATATCTACAGAGTATGGCACCATCACTGCAATCTAATTGTAGAACATTTTTTACACCCCCCAAAACAATTTCATGCCCATTAGCAATCACTTCCCACATTGTCCTCTCTCCAGCCTCTGGTAACCACGAATCTACTTTCTGTCTCAGTACATTAGCCGTTCTGGACATTTCACATAATAAAGCCATACAACACATAGTCTTTTGTGACTTTCTTCTTCTTCCCTTAACCCAAAGATGTTTTGGGGGTTCACATACCTTGATGTGAATTGTGACTTCATTCCTTTATGTGACTGAGTTGTAGCTCAATGTGTCAATATTTTCATCATACCAGGCATCTTTTCATTCCTTCCCAGTTTAAAAGGCTTAGTTTGCTCAACTGTCTTCTTCTTTCTGATGCCTACTACCTCTGTGACAGTTACTTTTGCATTGCTGTGACCAAAATACTTGGAAGAACCACTTAAAAATGAACTATTTGTTTTTGCTCGTGGCTTCAGAGATTTCAGTCTATAGTCTTGGCAATTCTGATTCTGGCCCATGGTTGGGCACAGCATCATGACAGGGGAAGCAAGGGGAGGAGGTTGATTATCTCAATCAGGAAGCACAATAGAGCAGGAATAGGAAGGGGCTAGACCAAGATATAGCCCCCCAAGGACATGTTCCCCAGTGAGCTCCTTCCTCCAACCAGGCCGCACCTTTCACAGTTCATCACCTGCCAACAGTCTATTCAAATTTGGAATCCATAAATGGATTAAACTATTGATTAGGTCAGAGTACTCATGACCTCATCATCTCTGGAAGTGCACCCAAAGACATTCCCACAGGTGTGCTTTACTATCCCTTAGGCATCTCTCAATCCAATCAAGTTGGCAATTCAGAATAACCATCACAACTTCCACTTGTAGTATATTCCTAAAGAGCTGCTTTCTCTTTCTGTATGTCTCTTCTAAAATTTTCCTTGATTCAATTTGTCTCATTTTATTCACATTCAAGTCTTTCTGTGTACACCGTAAGACAGGAATCCAGTACTATTTTCTTCCAATGGGAAAATCAGTTGAGCTAGCAATGCACTTCAAATAAACCATATTTACCTACTGGATTCAAATATTATCTGGAGTTTTCTTACAGTGATATATTTTTTCCTATTCCTAAATCTGCAATACTATATTTGTTTATATTTGACCTTATAGAATATTCTGATGTACATTAAGTCAAGTATGTACACATGTATGCATGTACATATTTGTTAATTTGGGGTTGTTATGGGATATTTCTTCTTGCATTTGTTTAGTCCAATCTCCCACTTCCCATTCCCTTACCATTAAAAGTAAACAGTTGATATTTTAACTGATACTTAATTTCAAAGATTTTTGTGAGACTTTTATTTTATATCCATCTTTCCACTCAAGATCATAGTATTTATTTCCTTTCATTTGAATATTGTTTTATGAAATGCAAAGAGATTTTGCAGAATTATTTAAAAATATTCTTCCTCATATATCCCTGGGCCTTTCTTCTTCAGTGTGCTCCCAAGTCACTGTCTACTTGCATCTAGTGACATTGTGATTAGAACATTTTCACTCTATCCACTTCAAGGTCTTTACTGCGATACAGTGAAAGGGTATTAATAGCAGTATACTGCACTGGCTCCATTTGACTTACAAATGCTCCTATTGGTTCTAACAGGGTTATATTTATTAGCCTCCTTTATTACATATGAAGCCCATCAATAAAAAGAAATTCAGTTTTTCTCTTCCAATGCTTGCACTGATTAGATTTTAACATCCTTATAAGAACTTCTATAACTACAAATGTTTTAGTGTTGCCATTTTACAGACTTTTTGGTTTATATATAAGACTTTTCTTCTGCTAATTGTCCCTGTGGTATTCTATAAGGAATGACTACCAAATGCAACAGAGTGGCTTCTGAGCTTCATCTATAACACATTGATGTCATCAGTGGGTTATGCTGATACCTTGCCTGATTCAAACCAGCCTTGAATTCCACGGACACACTCTACCTGATCTTAATGTATTAGTCCTTTGATGCTAGCAGTTTAATCCGGTGATTTTCTCTCATTTCATAAGTAACACTTACTTAAGTTTTCTTTTCTGGTGCGATTTTTTTTTATCAGCACTGGGTTTTTAAAGAATTGAAAAACTCTAAAAGACTTTGTTAAAATATGAATCAAATTTTATAACTGTATAAATGCAATTATTTTGAATGTTACTTATTACTGAACTTTTATATAGCAAAAAAGAATTGAAAAGCTCTGTATTACTTCTAAGACAGAGGTTATCAGTCTTGGCTTGCACACAAGAGTTACCAGAGAGCTATTTTAAAATGATAGTGCTTGGCACACTCCAGACCAATTAAACATTAATTTCTGGAGATGGAGACTGGAGATCATCAGTTTTAAAAGCTCACCAGGTGATTCTGTCATGCCTGAGGACCACTGCATGTGATCTGGAATTATTTAAACAATCGTGGGGCAAACTTGTTTGCTTGAGGCACTATGCAACTCAGCTTTCAACCTCTCTCATGTGGGGTCTTTTCCAGTAGTGAGTCTTCCATTTAAAAAAAAAACTGGTTTCTTCAAGTTTTCTTTCTTGTCTTGGGCCATTTTTATACTGTTTCCAAGAAATTACTACTTAATCCAGGATATCAAATGCATTACCACAGTATTGCACATGATATTTTCACTTCCATTTTCCTTCTCTTCTGTAATTTTGGCCAGCTCTTCTTGTTTACATAGTCATATTTTATTATTCTCCAAAGGAGACTTGTGTGGGGTTTAATCTGGTATTTTTAAAATTAGCTTTTTTTCCCCCAGAAGACTGGAGCTCTCCCATAAATGCTGCTGAGCCACCAGATCTGCTCCCTCCACAAGAGTTGGGGTTACCTGAGTGGAATTGCCCTGCTCCCACGGAGCCACAGCTGCCCACCCACACACTGCCTCAAGTCTAGAGCCCAACCACTGTACCCAGGTTCACCTAGAGGGGAATCACAGGTTATCCTTTTCCCCGAGGGCACACCTTGGGAGAGACACAGACAGGCTCTGAGGGCCACAGACTGGAGGAAAACACCTGCTGCCCTGATAGGGTACAACTGCTAGCCCCCTCTTCCTCAGCAAGGATGAAGTACTGATTTCTTTTTCTGTTTTTTCCCTCTCCTTCCCTGACTATCTTTGTTCTCTGTAATAATTATGTGTGTTCCCACACACTGTTATTTCTTACATCTTCACCCCATATACTTCTCACTCCTTTCCCTATCTTTCTTCACTCTTCCTTTCCCACCCCCTTTTTACTATTTAATTTTTAATATCTAGCCTAATGAAAAAGGGGACCAGGAACTAGAGAAAAGGTGAGATCAAAAAGAATTAACCTAGAAGGTAACACACACGCACAGGAAATCAATGTGAGTCAATGCCCTGTATAGCTATCCTTATCTCAACCAGCAAAAACACTTGTTCCTTCCTATTATGGCTTATACTCTCTCTACAACAAAATTAGAAATAAGGGCAAAATAGTTTCTGCTGGGTATTGAGGAGGTGGGGGGAAGAGGGAGGGGGCAGAGTGGGTGGTAAGGGAGGGGGTGGGGGCAGGGGGGAGAAATGACCCAAGCCTTGTATGCGCATATGAATAATAAAAAAAAATCTAGCCTATGAGCTATCCTATAAGAACCCTTGTTCCTTTCTTCTGTAACTATATTAGTGATGTAGTTGATAATTCCAATTGTTTTTAACTACATTTAAATAAAGGGTTTGGTTTTGAATTGGTGATTTCATATTGTATGCTTTCTCTCCTTGAGTGGTAGCGAGAGATATCCAACCTAACAGATGGGCAAATCACAATGTAGAAACATACATAATATGAAAAGACAGGTAATATGATTCCTTCAAAAGTTCATAACACCTCAACAAGAGAAGCTAAAGATACTGAAATGCCTGAGATACCAGACAAAGAATTCAAAGTTTACTTTTGAAAATGATCAATGACCTCAAAAAAGATTTCACCAAATAGATAAATGAACTGTGTAAATCAATCCAAGACCTGGGCAAGAAAGTCAGCAACATGGATGCGAAATTCAACAAGGAAACAGAGATTCTGAAAGCAAACAAACAAATAAAAAGCTCCCAGAAATGTTGGAAATGAATCCCAATAAATCAAGTAAAAAACATAATAGAGAGTCTCACCAGTATGCTAGAACAAGCAGAAGAAGGTATACAAGAAATTGAAAACAAGATTGAGAATATATTGCATTTCAACAGCAATAAAGAATTAACATAAAGAAACATGACTAAAACCTTCAAGAACTCTGGGAGAAGATCAAGAGAAAAACCTTTAAAAATCCATGGTGTAGGAAAAGTTGGTGAGATACAAACTAAAAGCACAGAAAACCCATTCAATGAGGTCATAGCAGAAAATTCCACAAAACTTTGGAAAGACACAGACACCCAAGTTTAGAAGGCATTTGGAATCCCAAGTAGACATGACCAGAAAATAGGCCATTTCCAATACATTATAATTAACTTGCCAAATCTGGAGTATTGAAATCTGCAAAAGAAAACCACTGACTTACAAACATAAACACATCAGAATTACCTCAGACCTCTCAGCAGAAATCCTAAAAGGCAGGAAAGCATGGAACAATAGGTTTCAAATGCTTAAAGAAAATTACTACCAACCAAGATTATTCAACAGACTCATCCTTCAAATTT